GAGGGGTAGGGGAAAGGAAAGAAGGGAACGGAGTTACTATGAGAAAATGAAAAAAAAGGAAACAGAGTCTTTGTAAATAGGGAGGGATGGAGGGGTTGAAGGGAGGGCAGGGGAAGGGGGAAAAAATAAGAACCAAGAGAGTATGTAAAGGTGCATATTTCCAATGATGAATGTCATTGTACACCTAAAGTGTACCAATAAAAGGATATACAAAAAAATAGCAGAATCAGGACTTGAAACCCAGGTTTTCTAAATCCTGGTTCATTGTTCTTTTGGAATGGCCTCAGAGTAGTAAAAGAGGCAATATAACTCTTTTATTTCCCCTGCATTCTCCTGCCCTGCCTGAGAATTATGGATCATATATACTACAACATGAGAGTTTATTCCTCATCCTTGATCCAACCCCTGCTCCATGGCACCTCCATTGCCATCTTGGCCTTTAACCCCCCTGGAAGTATCAAGGGCCCCTTTTACATACAGGTTTGATTTCTGTGGCTTGAGTTTTTTCTTGAGTGGTGTTAGAGTCCAGTTTGGACAAGATGGAGGGCAGTTTTGAGCAACAGGCATGGCCTTTTGGTGGGAAATTATTAGTGAATCTGGTACCATCTAGGGAGAAGGCTTGGCTAGTGGTTGGACTTTCACTTTCTGTTGTCTCTGAAAGCCTGGGTTTTTGGTCTAGGAATTGACTAGCCTCAAATTTGCAGGGCTGTATTCTGTAGTCATCCTGTTTGTCCTGTTTCCTGAACTGGGCAAATACTCTGTCCTCAATCTGGTCAAGTGTTTTATAGGAAGATGGATAGTTTTCTTGGTCAGCTTGTGTATCTATGAAATTGTTAATCTGGTCTTCTTCACTATAGGCATCTCTACCAACCATAAATTTATCAGCACTGCTGTCAGCTTGGTAGACAGCTTGTTGTTCAGTTAGTTTAGTGGCTTGGTTATATACTTGGTCAAACTTTATAGCTGTTCTATGTTCATCTTGGTCAGACAAGATCGGGTCAGCTTTCTCAGTTCTCACAGCGAGGTTGAACAATCTGAAGTCAATCTGTTCAGAAGTTTCTTGGTCAGATGTTTCTTGGTCAGATATTCTTTGTTGATCATTCCCAGAGGCTCCTCCATCAGATGGCATGGACAATGTGTCATCAACCTGCTGAGAAGCTCTTCCTTTGGCCTGTCTAGACAATCTGTGTTCTCCCTGCTCAGAAGCTCTTCTGTCAGCTTGGCTGGACCCTCTGTGGTCTATCTGCTCGGAAGCTTTTCTCTGTGCTTGGTCAGACACTCTTTGGCCCACCTGCTCAGAAGCTCTTCTATCAGGCTGGCTGGATAATCTGCGGTCCACCTGCTCAGCAGTTCCATCCATCAGACCAGACACCCTATGGTCAGTCTGTCCATGTGCTACATCATCAGCTTGGCTGGACGTCTTGCCATCAGTTGGCTCAGATGATTTTTGGTCAAACTGATCATGTATTGTATACCCAGTGTCTTCAGATACTTTGTGGTCAGCTTGGGCAGATATGGCTTTAGGCTGGCCATGTACTATTTGGATATTTTGGTCAGCTACTCGGTGGTCTGTGTAGTCATCTGCCTTTCCTTTGGGCTGGTTGTCATCTTCAAGGTTGTTAGTGGGATTAGTAGTTGGGAGTGTGGCTGTGCTTTCATGTCCCATGGATACAGAGAGAGCCTCTTCTAGAGGCTCATCCATTTTCTGCTGAGCTCTTGTCTGGTTTTGGTTGCTGAGTGCTGTGGGTGGGCCTTGGTTGTCTAGGCAACCTTCCCCCAGTGGACAGGATTCCAGCTTCTTTGTTCAGGCCTCCAAGCAGCCCTAGGTGGGTGGTGAATGCATGCTGCTGGCTTGGCACCAGTCACTATCAAGAGAAAAACTACTGGCGGGACATGGTGGAATGTGTCTATAATTTGAGCTCTCTGAAAGGCTGAGTCAAGACCATCACAAATTTGAGCTCAGCCTGGGCAACTTAGTGACTTAGTGAAACTCTGAATCAAAACTGAAAATTAAAAAGGGGCTGGGAATGTAGTCCAGTGTGAAGAGAGAGAGAGGGAGAGAGAGATGGAGAGACAGACAGAGAGGGAGAGAGAGCGAGCCAGTGACTGAATGCACAGAGTATTAGGGTTCGGACTGTTGTAGTACATGGGCCTGCTAAATGTTGTTCTTTTGATATAGTCCATTTGTGGTTATGTGACCACATTATGTTCTTTTCATTTTTAAAAGCCATTTTTCAGTACCATCTTTACTGATTGTGTCAATTCTTTTTCAATGGTACCAGGAAGAGTTTACACTTCCTAATCATACAAATCTCTCCTCCAAATAAAAGAGTGTAGACTACAGTTTTAAGCCCCCTTACCCCTTACAGGTCATTCCTGCAGGAGCATTCTATTCCCTGCCTCAGGGACAGGTGGCCAGCTATTTTTCATTCCATGTGGGAAAAGTATTGTTATGGCTTATGTCTAGATGTCCCCCTAAAGCCTCATGCAGTCTTAGGTGGCTGGATCTAGAGTGTGTGGTGCTGGAATTGATTCATGGTGCAACGCTAGACTCAAGGGCACTAGAATTAAAGGTGTGAGTGCTACCCACCCTAAGTATTCTGGATGAGATAAAAGGGGCAGAAAGATGCTGTTAAGGTTCCTTGTTGCTTTGATACCTTTAGTCCTCCATGAACTGCTGCCTTTCTGCTACCTCATCTTGGAGCCAGCCAATTATGGACTGAAACCTCTACAGACTGTGAGCCAAATAAATTTTTCCTCCTTTAACTTTGGGTTTTGGGTATTCTGTCTTAGTAATGAGAAAAGTAACTAAGACAAGCACCCAGGCTTTGGAAAATTCCAGCCCCAAGGTGTATTCTTGCTGAATTAGACATAATTTGTGGCTGGACTGGCAGAGGATGGAGCAAAAATCCAGTGAGAATGGAAGCTAAAAAACAGCGTTTAGTGTTCTGAATGCAGAAAGGAGGGTTAGGAGGAGGCCAAACCAGAGTCCAGAAAGAAAGGGAGGAAGGTAAGTGGGGAAAGATGACAGAAGTAATATTGAACAAGTGACTTTACAGTTGATGATGTGGCCAGTGGAATCCAGGTTTTGAGACACAGCTCCTGAAATAAACTTTAATACTTCACTTCAGGGTCAGCAGGCCCTTGTTTTCAGGAGTAGGACAGGACAGAATGGTGACTGATGACATTTAGCTTTGATTCTCTGAAGCCTAAGTCACTGAGGCAGGTTCAGGATTGTCAGATGATGTCAGATACTTCAACAATAGGGGTTTAGTTGCATTCAACAATTAGAGATGAAACTTGAAACCTGAATACAAAGAGTTGTGATCAAGCTGTGAACAGGAGAATGGGTATCACTGGCACAATACTTAGGAACATAAAGAGGAAATCTAGATAGATGGAAATGAAACCATTTAGGTAGCAGTATCTAAATGTATTAGGTACACAAGAAATGTTTATGAATATAAATTTATGAGGGGTCACCCTACCATAGTGACTGGGTGAGAGATGGCCACAAGAGACAGCAATTGAGAAGCCATGGGCTAGACATAGAGCTCCTGAGATGTTTAAGCTCAGACTGGGAAGGACACAGGGATCTTGCCCCCTGAGTTGAGAAGCCAGGCTGGTCATGTGTGGCTTTTAGAGGGGGCTGGGTCTGAGTCCTATATCTCACACAGAGCTCAGTGGTTTGTTTGCTTTCCCCATGTGCCACCATGACCAGAGGTACACCTTGACTTGAACAATTGCCACAGCTTGGGGTGTATAGACAATGGGACCTAAGGAGAAGTGGGTTACATCCTAAACCCACAGGTCATAAAGCTATGCAGAGAAAGCTGTGACTCGAGGATCACAGAGGGACACAGAAGCTGGCAGTGACTAGAGTGAAGGGCAGCCACCATTGACCACACCCCAGGAAAGGAGGGGCAGGATTCAACATTCACACATAAAAATGTGAGTGTGGGAACAAAGTAGGTCTTAGTAGTGACTCACTACTACTCTCCCATATCTGGTGGCTTTCAATACTGCAGAAACTGGAAAGAAACCATTAAAAAACACAGAAGATATTTCTGGGCTCATTTTTCTTCATTGCTTTAGGGGGTAGGGGGATACCCCCATTTTCTTTTTAATTTTTTTTTCTTGTTTGTCCTTTTCGGTTACTTTTACCTAATTCCATTAATTTTCTTTTCCTCACTAATAGGATCCTTTATCTCACTTTTCTCTCCTCCTTCTCATCTTCCTTTTCCAAATTTTACTTCTTGCATTTCCCTTCCCCCAACTCCTTCATTTTTAGTAGTACTGTATTACTACTAACCTTTATTAATCTTTAGATATTAGTTAACTCTATGCTACTACAGTTGAATTCTTTTCCATTGTTAATTGGGTATAATTGGTGCGTTATTATTTACTGTATGTCAGTATTTAGTTTCTCTTTGTGTCTATATTTTAATAGCAGTTCTCTTTTCTATTGTTAAGACTCATACAGTAGTAGCTTTATTATTTCTAATTATATGTAACTATTCAGTTTGTCTTTGACTATTATTGTTGGTGATTTTGTTGCTATAACTAGGTGACATAGTCATTGTTATTAATTGATTTTTACTGTACACTCATATCTGATTTGTCTTTGTGTCACTAACAATATTGTACTTCATTTCCAGAGAACTGAGTGCTAGGTCAGTAGCAGTAAACTTTCCACTCTCCAAATTAACAGAGGTGGCCAGATCTTCAAACAGCACCAAAGGCTCAGAGCCAAGCCCAGAGTATATCACTAGAAAACAGCCATTAACTAAAGAGACTGCCACACTAGCAGCAAAGTCTTTCCATCATAATTGATCTGCAAGGCTCAGTACATCCAGACACAAACTCATAGAAACATGAGAAACAAGTCGACAAAATGTCTCCCCAAACTCCAAACTCTACCAAATATGATTCATGGGGCATTGATGAGAAGGAAATCAAAAGCCAAACAGCTGAATTATATGAAATGATAAAAGTGGAGACAAAAAAAGAACAATAGGTGATTGGCAAGCTCAAAGATGACATAATTAGTTTATGAACTTATTAAACAAAAAGATCAGTTAACTTACAGAAGACATTAATAAAAAGCTAACTGAGCTAAACAAAACAATACAAACTATAAACGACTATTTTAGTGAAGGATTGGAGATCATGAAACGGTACCAAAGAGAAACTGAGATAAAAATTTCTGTTGAAAGTATGGGCAGCAGAAGTGACTAACGTGAAGACATAGTAACAGAACAAGAAGAGAGAGAGAGCTGAGGCAGGTGACCATATACATAGAGATACCTTAAAAACAATAAGAGAACATGGAAAATTGAACCAACAGCTGCTTGATGATGCAAAGAAGACTAATCTAAGATTGATTGGAATTTGTGAAAAATTAGAAGACAACAAAAATGGCATAAAAATATGATTAAAGAATACCAGAAAAATGTCCCAACTATGGGAAAATAATTTAATATAAAATAAGCAAGGTATATAGAACCCCCAAAAAAACCATGAGTAGAAAAGAACTTCTACATGACACATCATAGTCAAAATTCCGGAGTTCCAACACAAAAACAGAATCTTTAAAACTGTGGAGAAAAGCAACAAAACACTTATAAAGGTAAACCTATCAGGGACCCCTACAGTGGTTAAACCCCTGTACTGTTTACAGCTTGCTTTGGGCATAATCAATAGGGTGGTCCGCTACATACACACACTAGAGTTACAGCAGACTTCTTGACCTAAACCTTAAAGACCAGGAGAGCTTGGAGTGAGTTGTTTCAAGCTCTAAAAGAAAACAATTTCCAAACCAGACTAATATATTCTGAAAAACTATTTTTCAAAAAAATTTTTTAATTCTTTTATTGGTACATTGTAGGTATACGACACAATTACATTTCTCATTGGGAATTGTACCTTTACATAATGCATCTTGGTTCTT